ACTTGTCCTTGAAGTTTTCGGGTCTTTTCATAGAAGTTTTCAGGACGTGTTCTGGAAAACCATTAAGGCTACCTAGACAATTCTCCGGACTCTGGTAGACCTTCGGATTTTTCCTACCAGTTATCTGGGATAATGTTGGAAGTGTTTGAAGCCTGAAGTTTCTCTGGATTTGTCCTGAAAGTCTTCTGAACCTGAGCTGGAAAACCGGACCTGTCCTGGAAGGTCTTGGAATTCTTGGATTTCCTGGATGTTCTTTGGAACTTTTTATTTTTCTGGAAGTCACCCACATATGTCGTAAAATCGATCCAGATTTATCCTGAAAATCCGTCGAATTTGTCCGGGATGACATCTCTGGGAAGATTTTCACCAAATATTCTGGACTTGCCCTAGAAAACCACTGAGACTATTCTAGAATATCTCTGGACTTCCATAATAAAAAAAAACATATCATAAACAAACGATAACCCAAATGATAGAACTATTCTACAAATGGTTTGAATGATACCCGAACACGTTGTTAACCAAATAACCATGATTTTTTTTTATAAGGGTTGTTCAGGAAGTCCCCTGGATCCTTGAAAGTTATTTGGATGTGTCCTAAAATCAGTTTGGATTTGACTTGAAGACCCTCTGAATTTACCGTGGATTTTCTTCGAACTTGCTCCAGAAGTTCTAACTTTGTTCTGAAAAATCGCGTTAATTGGCCTGGAGGCTCTCTGACCCAATACTAGAAGATTTTTCCTGAAATTCCTTCACAGAAGTCATCCGATCTTGTCCTGACCATCTTTTGGATTAGTCCTGAATATCCTTTGAACTCGTCCTACTGAGAATCGAGGACTGAATTTGTCATTGACATTTTCCGATCTTTTCTTAGAAGTCTTCTGGACGTAACGTTCTGATTTCGAAGTTAACCCTGGAAGTTCTCCGGAAAGTCTTCTGAACCTGAGCTGTAAAACCGTAAACCGAATTTGTCCGGGATGTCATCTCTGGGAAGATTTTCACCAAATATTCTGAACTTGCCCTACTGAGACTACTCTGGAATATATCTGGACTTCCATAATAAAATAAAATCCTAAAGGAACGATAACCCAAATTATAGAACTATTCCACAAATGGTTCGGATGATACCCCGAACACGTTGTTAACCAAATAACCAAACAAATTTTATTAGGGTTGTTCAGACAGTCCCCTGGATTTGTCCTTGAAAGTTATTTGGATGTGTTCTAAAATTCGTTTGGATTTGTCTTGACGACCCTCTCAATTTACCGTGGATGTTCTTCGAACATGCCCCAGAAGATCAACAGAAGTTCTAGATTTGTTCTGAAAAATAGTTAAAATTGGCCTGGACCAATACTGGAAGATTTTTTTCCTGAAATTCCTTCACATTTATCCTAGAAGTTATGCGAACTTGTCCTGATAGTCTTTTGGATTAGTCCTGAATATCCTTTGAACTTGTCCTACTGAGAATGGAGGACTGAATTTGTCATTAACATTTTCCGTTCTTTTCACAGAAGTCTTCAGGACGTGTTCTAGAAAACCAGGAAGTTATTCGAACTCTGGAAGACCTTCGGTTGTTTTCCTGCAAGTTATCTGGGTTTATGTTGGAAGTCTTCGAAGCTAGCCCTGGAACTTCTCCGGAAAGTCAAAGCCCTAAAACCCTAAGAAGCTCCAGATTTCTCTATGAAGTTTTTCGGACTTCTTCGGGAGACTTTTGGATTTGCTATGGGAAACGGCTAAACCTGCGTTTAAAGTTTCGTGGAATTTTCCTGCAAGACCTGTGAATTATTTCTTGCCGTTGTCCTGGAAATTTCCAAACATATTCTGGAAGTTTTCCGGACTAGCCCTAACATCCTTTGCATTTGATCTGGAAGTCATCCGAACTTGTCCACCAGATTTGTCCTTGAACTGCTTCTGACTTGTCCTGGATGGCTTTATGGCTTGTCTTGGATGTCTTCAAGATTTGAATTGGAAAACCGTTGAGCCTGCCCTAGAAGATTCCCAGACTTGTTCATGGAAGTAGTCCAGACATATCCTGTTCAAAGTCCTTCGGACGCGTCATAGCGACCTCTGAACTTATCCTAAACGTCTTTCTGAATTTTCCTAGAGGTCCTCCAAATTTGTCCTTGAAAGTTTTCTGACTTCTTTGGAAGTCTTCTGCACTTGCTGTGGGAAGCGACTAAACCTGCGATTGAAGTTCCGCGGACTTTTCCAGGAAGACTTGCGGATTTTTAGTTGCCCTTTCCCTGGATATTCTCCGATTTTGTTTCTGGAAACCAGACATATTTCCAGAAGTTTTCCAGACTATCCCTATAATCCTTTCTATTTGATCTGGAAATCATCCGGACTTGTCCTCAAGATTTGTCCTGGAAGTACTTCTGACTTGTCGTGGATGGGTTCATTGGTTTTCTTGGATGTCTTCCAAATTTGACTTGGCAAACCGTTGAGCCTGCCCTAGAAGATTCTCAGACTTGTACCTGGAAGTAATCCAGACATATCGTGTTCAAAGTCCTTCGGACGTGTCATGAGGTTCTCTGAACTTTTTCTAAACGTCATTCTGACTTGTCCTAGAGGTCCTCCAAATTTGTCCGTGAAGTTTTTCGGACCTCTTCGGGAATCATCTGGACATGCTGTGGGAAACGGTTAAACCTGCGTTTGAAGTTTCGTGGGCTTTTCCTGGAAGATATGTGAATTGTTCGTTGTCCTTGTCCTGGAAATCCTCTGGTTTTGTTCCTGGAAATGTTCAGACATCCTCGAGGTTTTCCGGACTAGTCCTTAAATCCTTTGCATATGATCTGGAAGTAATCCGGATTTGTCCTCAAGATTTGCCCTTGAAGTGCTTCTGACTTGTCGTAGATGGTTTCATGGCTTGTCTTTGATATCTTCAAGATTTGACTTGGAGATCCGTTGAGCCTGCCCCAGAAGATTCCCAGATTTGTACCTGCAAGTAATCCAGACATATCCTGTTCAATGTCCTTTGGGCGCGTCATGGCGACCTCTGAACTAATCCTAAACGTTATTCTGACTTGTGCTAGAGGTCCTCCAAATTTGTCCTTGAAGTTTATTGGGCTTCTTTAGAAGACTTCTGGAACTTACTGAGGGAAACTACTAAACCTACGGATTTTTCGTTGCCCTTACCCTGGAAATCCTCCATTTTTGTTCGTGGAGATTTCCACACATATCCTGGAAGTTTCCGGACTAGCCCTAACATCCTTTGCATTTGATCTGGAAGTCATACGAATTTGTCCTTGAAGTGCCTCTGACTTGTCGTGGATGGGTTCATGGATTATCTTGGATATCTTCAAGATTTGACTTGGCAAACCTTTGAGCCTGGCCTAGAAGATTCCCAGAGTTACCCGGAAGTAATCCAGACATATCCTGTTCAAAGTCCTTCGGACGCGTCATGGCGACCTCTGAACTAATCCTAAACATCATTCTGACTTGTCCTAGAGGTCCTCCAAATTTGTTCTTTAATTTTTTCGGGAGTCTTTCGGACTTACCGTGAGAAGTGGCTACACCTGTGTTTGAAGCTCCGAGGGCTTTCCAGGAAGATCTGCGAATTTTTCATTGCCGTTGCCCTTGAAATCCTTCGGATTTGTTCCTGGAAACTTGCAGACATAGTTTTCCGGATTATCACTAAAATCCTTTGCATTTGCTCTGGAAGTCATCCAAATTTGTCCTCAAGATGGCTTCAGATGGCTTGTCTAGGATGTCTTCAAAATTTGACTTGGAAAACCGTTGAACCTGCTCTAGAAGATTCCCATACTTGCTAGTGTTGAGGACTTCTCCTTTATTACCTCTGAATCCGTCCTGATAGTCCGTCTGGATTGTACCTAGAAGTAACATATCCTGTTCAAAGTCTTTCGAACGCGTCGTTCTAACTTGTCCTAGAGGTCTTCCAAATTTGTCCTTGAAGTTTTTTTTCGGACTTCTTTGGAAGTCTTCTGGACTTGATGTGAGAAACGGCTTATCGTACGTTGGAAGATTTGTAGATTTTTTTTCTCGTAATACCTGTGAATTTTTCATGGAAGTTCTATGCGCTTGTACTGTAATTCTTATTCCTAGAAATGCCCAGGCATATCCTGAAAGTTTTCCGAACTAATGCTGAAAATGGATTAAATTTGTTCTGGACATAATTGGGACTTGCTCTCCAGATTTATTCTTGAAGTGTGTCGGACTTTTTCTGGGAAACCTCCTAACCTGTCCTAGAAGTAAAGTAGCTTGCATTCAGTTTGCTATAGTAAATATTTTTTGGATTATGAAATCATTAGCTTTTACAATAGTATTTTGAACATGTAAGTTACAAGAAAAGGTTGTGAAGCTTGTGTTTAACGCATAAAACCTGTCCATAAACCTTGCTTTCAGAGTGCCACAATCAGCGGTTTTACGAGAGTTGCCTTAAAAGTGTAGAGGACCGGCTGTTTAAGACCTTTGGATCTGTCCTGATAGTCCTCTTCTTTGGTACAGTCCACCATACTTATCCTCTTAAAAGTACTCCGGACGTGTCATGAAGTCCTCTGAAGATTTACCTTGAAAGTCACCCGAATTTGCCCTGGAATTCCTTCAGATTTGTCCTAAAAGTTTTAAGGTCTTGTCTCCACCGTAACAGTCAACTGAATATGTCCTAATTACCACTGTAAGCCTATACCGTAACAGTCCTTTGCATTCGTTCTGGAAGCTCTCTGCTAGCACCTCGGATTTATCCTGAAAGTCATCAGGACTTGTCCTTAACTTTCTCCTCAAAGTCCTGTGAACTTGGTTGGAATGTTTTCCAGGCTTTCCACGCAAACCAAACCGTCCAGGGTTGGCTTAGTTGACGTCCAAATTGTGGACTTATTCTGGAAGTCTTCTGATCTACTTCCTCTGGAAAATTAACAAGTTTACGCCAGATTCACAAATACCATATGGCAGTCGAAGAATTGAAAATTTCAGGGATTAGTCACCGAAATGATAGTGCAAAGCTTGATTAAATATTCGTCCTAATCAACTAATGTTCACATAATATTATAATTATAACAACCACTCATAACAACGCTCGAAAGCCTAGGCTATAAATTACAGTCACCGGTCATATTTTTTAAGGAACGGTATCCTTCTTGAGTAGACATTCTTTGGTAGCAGCGCCGACAGGAACAAATGCGTAATGATGCCGGTCATTCCCCAGACCACTTCCTCTCCTCCCCGGTATACCGGCACCGTATAACCGGCCCGAAACTGCGTATGCCGTCGATTGCCGGGTGCCAAAAACGTTTCAATCGGCACGGTGAAAACCTTTTGCACCTCGTCGGGATTCGGCTTCAGCAGAGCCGTGCTGTAGTCCTGGATCGTTCCGACGACCGGCGTTATGGCCGGTCCAAAGTTTGGTACCAGTTCGTTGCCGCATCCCCACACCTGGATCCGGTCCCGAGGTATGCCAACTTCCTCTTCGGTTTCACGAGTGGCACACGCCTCGTAGTTGGCGTCCGTTGGGTCCTTGATGCCACCTGGTGGGAATCAAGTATGGATTTCATATATTTGTAATTTCAAGGATCAAAGTCGCAAAACGAACCTGGGAACGATACCTGCCCTCGGAATTGGCTCAGCTTGACCGACCGTTGGGTATAGAGAAGACTGACTTGGCCGTCCACTAGGCAGAGAGCGATCAGAACGGCAGCATGTTTGGCGGGCGGTTGACTGTTGAGCCGGATCTTGGGAAGGGCCTGAAAGTTGGCTATGATTTTCTGCTGTTCCGTGCTGTTGGCTAGGAGCGTAGGGTGAAGTAGAGTGGATACATCGGTGGTGCTGTACTGCCGGATGGCAAGCAGCCTAGCGGTGGTGGTCATCATGTTTGCATTGGAATGGGGAAGGCCGCAGAGAGGACCCGGTGTTATCGGGGGGTGTGTGTTCGATTGTTGCACAAGAGTTTGTTTTGTGTTTGATTGCATCAGCTGATTTTGACAGTTCCGGATAATGATGCCCGCGCCGGCGGTGCTCTTGCGGATGGTAGCGAAAGCTTTCGATATCGGTAAAGAAGATGGGGGGGTACGTCGATGCAATACTTAAGTGAATGTAACTAGGGTAGATGTCTGAAATGTGTTTACCTTATGGCTTGTTCGGACTACAGATCCCGTAAAAAAAACCGTAGAGTGCATGCAATAAATCGTACTGTCTATTGGGTTCCATAGGGGTATTGAGGTAATTGCATATTCGTAATGTAAATTTCAAATGGAACCGAAATCCTAAATTTCATCAATTTTGGACCACTGGAAGATGATTCCAGTCGTTCTCTAAAAGATGATTCCAGACGTTTTCGACATAAATTCCACAAATTTCTGAAGCTGACTCCAGGCGTTCCTGAAAATGATTCGAAACGTTTTCGAAGATGATTGCAGACGTCTCCAAATGACAAACATTTACGACTGAGATTCCAGACGTTCCCGAAGATGATTCCAGACAATCCAGACGGAGATTCCAGACATTTCCGATGGATTTTTCAAACGCTCCCGATTCGGATTCCATACGTTCCTGATTTTGATTTGAGACGTTCCCGACCTAGGTTCCAGACGTTACCTAACATGTTTCCAGACCTTTTTGATTTGGATTCCAAATTTTCCTGACTGAGATTTGAGACGTTTCCGACGAAGGTTCCAGACGTTAACGAAGCTGATTCCAGACGTTCCTGAAGATGATTCCAAACGTTCCTGACGTAGATTTGAAACGTTTCCAACGGATGTTCCTGACGTTCCCGAAAATGATTCCAGACGTTCCTTAAGATGTTCCTGAAGATGATTCCAGGCGTTCCTGAAGATGATTCGAAACCTTCTCGACGGAAGCTCCAGACGTTTTCGAAGGTGATTGCAGATGTTTTCAAATGACAAGCGCTTACGACGGAGACTCCAGATGTTCCCGAAGATGATTCTATTGGCGAAAATGCTGAAGCTGTTATGGAATGTGGTAGTGAATACCCCAGTGAATCCTGTCACGGAGGCATGGACGAAAGCGGACAGAAAGGTACGAGCAATGATCGGATTGTGCATCGAGCCTAGTCAAAATCCTCTTATTAAAGATTGCGGCTCCGCCAAACAAGTGTGGGATGCCTTAAAGCAGTATCACGAGAAGAAGAATGCTTCATCTCAACTGTCACTTCTCATCCGGCTGGGCGGTATGAAAGTAGGAGAAGAGGGGAATGTTGAGAAGCACTTGTTAGAAATGGATGTGCTTTTCGAACAGCTGCAGAACGCGGGAGTCGAGTTGGCGGAAAATTGAAGATTGCGATGGTTCTTCGCAGTATGCCGGAATCCTACCACTACCTGCATCAACTCTAGTAGCTCGACCGGATGGGGAGGTAACGATGCAGCTAGTCCGATCGAATCTTAACGACGAGTGTCGGAAGTGTGCAGAGCGGAAGGAACTATCAACGGTGGCAGAAGAACAAGTACTCAAGATATTTTGCTCTGTTTGCAACAAACCTGGCCACTTCACGGAAGAATGCAGGAAGTAGCAGGCAGTTAAGGAAAAGCAGCAGGAAGGTGGCAAACCGAGTGCAAGCAAGAAGAAGCATGCGATGCAGGTCAAGGAGGAGGATTCCGCTGGAAGTGGACGAAGCTGTATGTGAAAATGTCAAGGAAATTAGTTTGTGGACGATTGAGAGTGGAGGATCCTGCCACATGACGAGCTGTGTGAACTTTTTTGACCAGCTAGAGAAATCTTCGGTTACTACTGTGGTGATGGCTGGCGGTAATCGTGCCAAGTCAGGAGGCGTCGGTACCAGAACGGTGAAAGGCGGCAACGGAGAGGGTAAGCCCATGAAGATCGAGCTGGAGCGGTTAGCAAGATCGCCGAGAAACGGTTCGATGTCACGTTCAAGCCGAATGGAGTGCAGAGTCGAATGACAGGATTGTAGTGCTTGGTTAGAGGAAGGGTGGCCTTTACGTCTTGAAGGAATCCAGTGAAATGGCGCTTTATGTGGGTCAATGTCAACACCCATGGCACCGTCGGTTTGGGCATCGTGACCCGGAAGTTCTAGACAGGATGCAGAAAGAGGACCTAGTTACTGGGATTAAGATTGTCGATTGCGGAACCAAAATCGTGTGCGAATACTGGAGGGAAAAATGGCACGTCTGCTATTCTCTCAGGTAGCGGAGAGAAGGACTACGCAGTCAATACAGCTGGTCCATACTAGAAACACTAGAATAAGAGACCAGCGGAGACACTGTTATGATTCCAATCGAACTGTCAAAAGCGGTTCCAATCTGAAATATTTACAAATGGTTTGTTTCAATTAGGGAGGAGTATTGAAATCGTTTAACAATCACTCATGTACTCGATCGTCGGTGCATTGGCGAAGTCACTCGCAAGCAGTTACAAATGCAAGTGATGCCAGGATTACTTTGATGTTTATCTTGTTGCCAAATTCATGTTTTTTTTCTCCGCTGGTCTCTTATTCCAGTGTTTCTAGTCCATACGGATTTGTGCGGACCGATGCGCAACACAACGCCAGGTGGCAATAAGTATTTTATGGCAATTATTGACGACTATAGCTGGTATTTTGTATTGTACCTACTGAAAGACAAGGCGGATTCTAAGGGATGCATCATGAATTACGTTCGATTTGTCGAGAACAAGTTCGGCAGAAAGCCAGGGATCATCCGTTCGGATCGGGGTGGCGAATTCGTGAATAAGGAACCACGCAGAAGGCATACAATCGCAGCTGACCGCCGGATACTCCCCGCAGGAAAACGGAGTGGCGGCACGTCGTAATCGGTATTTGAAGGAGATGACTGTTTGTATGCTACTCGACGCTGGATTGGAAAAGTGTTTCTGGAGCGAAACGATAGCAGCTGCGGCAGAACAGACTTCCGTCACGTTCTGTTCAGAAAACCCCGTATGAATTATGGACAGGTCAGAAACCTCAGTTACTTTAGAGTCTTCGGGTGTGATGGTTATGTCCAGCGGGATATGCTAAGAAGTATATTATCGTCGGCTACGACAGTAAGGCAAAGGCGTATCGGTTTCTGAATAAGCCAACGCAGAAGATTACCAACAGCCGGGATGCTAGATTCCTATAGACGGGCTCTGTGCGACAGGAGGAGAAGAACCGGAGATGGATATGAACAGCGAAGAACAGGAAGAAGTTGAACTACGGCCAGCAGGGAGCAGTGAAGAAGACGAGGATTACGAAAGCATTGCGGATCCGATGATGAGAATGCCGTACCGGGAGCTACAAGGAAGCAATGAGTTGTCCGGACAGGCACAAATGTAATCAAGCGATGAACGAAGACCTCAAATCTCTTCTGTCAAGCGGAACGTGGTCTCTCGTGCTGCCACCGCCTGGCCGTCGAATCGTTGGATCAAAGTGGGTCTTTAAACGGAAGAAGGATACTTCGGGCCAAGTCGTGCGCTATAAGGCAAGACTTGTGGCCCAAGGCTACTCACAACAGTCTGGGTTGGATTTCGGCGAGAGGTCTTCGCCCCTGTGGCAATGCAGTCTTCGTTCCGAGTGCTACTGACTATCGCCGGTCAACGGAAGCTACAGGTACGGCACATTAATGTAAAAAATGCCTACCATAACGGAAAACTGGAGGCTGGAGGAGGACATCTTTATGCGGCAGTCCCCTGGTTTCATCGTATCGGGAAAGGAGGAGTATTTCTGTAAGCTGAATCGAAACCTCTACGAATTGAAGGCAGTTCTATCGATGCTAGGTTTCCAACAATCGGAATCGGATTCCTGTCTTTTCATCAAGCGGTTGTCGAACGGAAAGCTGATGTTTTTGCTTATATAGGGGAAATGGATGTAATGTCGGCCTAAATGCCCCTAATTTGGGTCGATACATAAATTCAGCAATCGACTAAATTTTCATTAGCGACCAAAAATAGCCATTAGTGTTTTAAGTGTCCAAACAAAGAAATTTATTGTACGTTTATTCAGCTTGGTAGTACAAAATGAACTGGCTTGTGATGATGAGAGAGTGACGCGTGCCTACGCTAGCTCTACGTATGTATTTGTTAGTACGCCCTGCGACAGTGCATATTTGTGTTAGTTACAAAACGGAACGTGTAGGACCACAGATATAAGGACAGATGAATATTATTACAATTAGTACCGTCCCAATGACGCGTTCATCCAGATAAAATTGATGAATAGCAGATTTTTAGCGATGGGCCCAATCTTAGACCCATAGGCCAACATTAGAGCCATTTCCCCTATGTGGACGACATGATCGTCGTTTGCGAAGATGCGGTGCAGATTGCACTTCTCGAGGATAAGTTGCGGCGCGAGTTGGACTTCGGAGAAGTTTTAATTTATTGGGATGAAGGTCAACAAGGGCCAAGATGGGATTTATCGTTTGAATCAAAAGGTTTTTATCCATGAGATAGCGGCTCTGTTTGAACTGGAAGGGGCGAAGAAATCCGGCTATTTCAAACAGCACGAATGAGGGCGACAAATTACCAGATAACAACCAATACCACAGTTTGATTGGTACACTATTGTATGTAGCGACTAACACACGGGCAGATATCGCGGTGGCCATATCGATCCTGAGTCGGAAGACAAGTGCTCCGCGGCAACACGACCGGATTGAACTAAAACGAGTTGTTCGGTACTTGCTCGGCACAGAGGACTACGAGCTGAAACAAGGCGTTTCGCAGCCCATCGGGATGACTCTTGTTGGGTACAGGTCCGATAGGAAGTCTAGGGATGGTTTCTTATTCCTTCCCGGTGGAGCTCCAGTCGTATGGGCAATTAGGAAACAAGGATGCGTCACAACTTCGACCATGGAAGCAGAGTGTGAGGGTCTATCTGAAGCCGTACAGTAGGCTGTCTGGTTGCGCCGTTTACTTGCTGAGTTGGGTGAGGAGCAACAACGACCTATTACTGCAGTACTGTTCAACGGATCAGATGATCGCCGATATTTTTACCAAGCCGCTGGGACCTACGAAGTTCAAGCAGTTTGCGAACGCTTTGGGGCCTCATGACCGGATGTACAGTACGTCATCGAGGATGAGTATTGGGGAAAATGCTAAAGGGCGCTGACGCACTGAAATGAAACAGCAGAACATTTTTACCTTTGGCATTAACATTTTGGTTTTTAGAAGACATCATATCAAGAAGACTGGCAACTTTGCCAGTATCCAAGCGACAGATACAGCAGCGCTGCACTTGGATGAAGGTGGAAGCAGCGCATGAAATACGAGCAAATACACAAACCTTTCTTCTGAGGATGTAATCTTTGCTATCAAATTCGTTCGAAGCATTTACCTTTGAACGGCAGATGACGCGATTGTGCCTGTCTCGAACGGTTGTATAAGAAAATGGAAGAGTAGCCAGTCTTCTTGATATGTTGTCTTCGATAAAAGTCTCGTCTCTTTATTTTCTTGCTTCATCGACGCTGATGACTATTTGGCCATTTCCTCCCGACAGATTCCAGTCGCTCCAGGAGGAGATTTCAGACATTTTCGATGGATATTTCAAACGCACCTGATTTGGATTACCGACGTTCCCTACATAGGTTCCAGACGGTACCTAAAATGTTTCCAGATGTTCTTGATTTGGATTCCAAATATTGCTGACGGAGATTTGAGACGTTTCCGATCAAGGTTCCAGACGTTCCCGAAGCTTATTCCAGACGTTCCTGAAGATGATTCCAAACGTTCCTGACGTAGATTTGAGACGTTTCCGACGGAGGTTCCTGAAGTTCCCGAAAATGATTCCAGACGTTCCTGATATTGATTTGAGACTTTTCCGACGGAAGTTCCAGATGTTCCCGAAGATGATTTCAAACGTTTTTGACGTAAGTTCCAGACATTCCCGAAGATGATTCTAGTCGTTCAATACGGAGGATCCAGATGTTCCGGAAGATGATTTTAAACGTTTTCGACAGAGATTCTAGACATTATCGAAGATGAATCCAGTCGTTCCCGACGGAGGTTTCAGACGTTTCCGATGGATATTACAAACGTTCCAGATTTAGATTCTAGACGTTCCTGATATTGGTTTGAGACGTTCCCGAGCTAGGTTCCAGACGGTACCTAAAATGTTTCCAGACGTTCTCGATTTGGACTCCAGACGTTCCTGACTTAGATTTGAGACGTTTCCGACGGAGACGGTTCCGAAGATGATTCCAGATGTTCCTGAAGATGATTCGAAGCGTTTTCAAAGATGATTGCAGACTTCTCCAAATGCCTAACGTTTACGACTGAGATTCCAGATGTTCCTAAAGATTATTTCAGACTATCCAGACATTTCCGAGGGATATTTTAAACCTTCAGAGTTGGATTCCATAAGTTCCTGATTTTGATTTGAGACGTTCCTGACCTAGGTTCCAGACGTTACCTAAAATGTTTCCAGATTTTCTCGATTTTGATTCCAGACGGTCCCAAAGATGATTCCTGACGTTCCCAACGCAGATTCCAGACGTTTCCTAAGATGATATCAAACGTTTCTGACTTAGATTTGAGATATTCTCAAAGATGATTGCAGACGTTCTCGATTTGGATTCCAGATATTCCGGGCCAGAAGATGATTGCAGACTTTTCCGAATGTGATTCCAGTTGTTTACGACGGAGATTTCAGACCTTCCCGAAGATGATTCCAGACAATCCAGATGGAGATTCTAGGCATTCCCGGAGGAGTTCTCAAACGTTCCCGATTTTGATTCCAGACGTTTCAGATTTTGATTTGAGATGTTCCCGACCTAGGTTCCAGACGTAACCTAAAATATTTCCAGACCTTTTCGATTTGAATTCTGACGTTCCCAAAGATGATGTCTGACCTCGACGACGGAAATTTCAAACGTTCCCGAAGAATCATCTCGCATCAAGACGCATCAGACGGAGATTCCAGACGTTCCCTATGAAGTTTTCAAACGATCCCGATTTGCATTCCAGACGTTCCCGATCTACGTTCCAAAAGTTCTCGATTTAGATTCCAGACGTTCCTGATTTAGATTATAGACGTTCCTGATATTGATTTGAGACGTTCCCGACTTAGGTTCCAGACGGTACCTAAAATGTTTCCAGACGTTCTCGATTTGGACTCCAGACGTTCCTGACTTAGATTTGAGACGTTTCCGATGGAAGCTCCAGACGTTCCCTAACATGATTCCAGATGTTCCTGAAGGTGATTCGAAGCGTTTTCGAAGATGATTGCAGCCTACTCCAAATGCCAAACGTTTACGACTGAGATTCCAGATGTTCCCGAAGATGATTTCAGACTATCCGGACGGAGATTCCAGACCTTTCCGTTGGATATTTCTAACACTCCCGAGTTGGATTCCATACGTTCCTGATTTTGATTTCAGACGTTCCTGACCTAGGTTCCAGACGTTACCTAAAATGTTTCCAGATTTTTTCGATTAGGATTTCAGACGTTTCCGATGATGATTCCTGACGTTCCCAACGCAGATTCCAGACGTTCCCTAAGATGATATCAAACGTTCCTGGAGGAGATTCTACGCGTCAAACGTTCCCGATTTGGATTCCAGACGTTCCAGATTTTGATTTGAGATGTTCCCGACCTAGGATCCAGACGTTACCGAAAATGTTTTCAGACCTTCTCGATTTGGATTCTGACGTTCCCAAAGATGATGCCTGACCTTGACGACGGAAATTTCAAACGTTCCCGAAGATGATTGCAGACGCACCAGACGGAGATTCCAGACGTTCCCTATGAAGTTTTCAAACGTTCTCGATTTGGATTCCAGACGTTCCTGATTTAGATTCTAGATGTTCATGATATTGATTTGAGACGTTCCCGACCTAGATTCCAGACGTTACCTAAAATGTTTCCAGACGTTCTCGATTTGGACTCCAGATGCTCCTGACTTAGATTTGAGACGTTTCCGACGGAAGTTCCAGACGTTTCCGAAGATGATTCCAGACGTTCCCTATGAAGTTTTCAAGTTCCCGATTTGGATTCCAGACGTTCCCGATCTACGTTCCAGACGTTCTCGATTCGGATTCCAGACGTTCCTGATTTAGATTCTTGACGTTCCTGATATTGATTTGAGACGTTCCCGACAGCATTGGAAAATATCGCGATATTTCACGAAGTTCACCAAGGGAAAAGTTCGCGAGTCATAGTGAGTTTTGGTGAACTTTTCCAACACTGGTTCCCGACCTAGGTTCCAGACGGTACCTAACATGTTTCCAGACGTTCTCGATTTGGAAGTTCCAGACGTGCCCGAAGATGATTCCAGACGTTCCCTAACATGATTCCAGATGTTCCTGAAGATGATTCGAAGCGTTTTCGAAGAGGATTGCAGCCTACTCTAAATGCCAAACGTTTAGACTGAGATTCCAGATGTTCCCGAAGATGATTTCAGACTATCCAGACGTTCCCTAAGATAATATCAAAAGTTCCTGACTTAGATTTGAGACATTCTCAAAGATGATTGCAGACGCTCTTGATTCTGATCCCAGATGTTCCCGACGTTCCAGAAGATGTTGCCAGACGTTTCCGAATATGATTCCAGATGTTTACGACGGAGATTTCAGACCTTCCCGAAGATGATTCCAGACAATCCAGACGGAGATTCTAGGCGTTCCCGAAGGAGTTCTCAAACGTTCCCGATTTGGATTCCAGACGTTCCAGATTATGATTTGAGATGTTCCCGAACGGAACCTAGACGTTGCCAAAAATGTTTCCAGACGTTCTCGATTTGGATTCTGACGTTCCCACAGATGATTCCTGACCATTATGATGGAAATTTCAAACGTTCCCGAAAATGATTCCAGACGCACCAGACGGAGATTCCATGCAGTTTTCAAACGTCCTCGATTTCGATTCCAGACGTTCCTGACTTAGATTCGAGACGTTTTCCAACGCAAATTCCAGAAGTTCCCTGAGACGCTTCCAGTTACTTGCTGAGAAAGTTTAGAGCTCAGCTTCGTAGGGTTGAGCAAGAGGAAATTTCTTTCATTCCAAATCCATCTCAAATCGCAACCAAATCTTTGATTAGAGCGTTTATTCCTCCTTTGTTTCAGCTTACCTTCAATCAACTAACAAATATATTCTCTAAATGGTAATAATATTCCATACTTTTTTAATCTGCTTTGTTTCTCCGTTTTCCATGATTCATTTTCTTTACTTTTTTTTTTCTTTAAATGTGAATTTATTTTATTTAGTTCTGCTTCCTGGTTTGTTGCATTTTTAAACTTTTATCATTCTGCTTTATCAACGAATCGAGAAATTTATTACTTGGATTTTAGTACAATCAATTAGTTTGTAATTTTAAGTGTCTGTGTGTTTATGTTTGCTTTAAATTCCAATGTTTCAAGAATTGCCAACCTTACTGAAGATTTTCACTAGAATTGTCCTTCATCGTGTTTTTGTTTTCTTTGATTTGATTTCCCTACGTAGTGTTCCCATTTTGCTTAGAAACTTTCCTCTTGGGTGTGTTTTTTGGTTTGTTATTGTTTCCATGTCCGTTTTGGATAACATTCCTGCACGTTTCTTTTCCAGACACTTCCACCGCGCACACACGTACAGGAATGAGTGTATGTACAAAAATTTAGAATATTTAGACCCTTTCGTTTTGCTAACACTATTCTCTTGCGCTAAACACCATTTGTTTACTTCTGTTTGTTGATAGTTTTACCTACTTTTTTTTTTTGTTTAATTTTACTCAAAGTTTTCCTTAGTAACAAAGTTGCTTTTAAAAGTTTTGTGAAATTGAAATTGTAAAAATTCTAAACGGCGTTTTGTTCCTTCTTCGTGTCTTAAAGTTTGTATTTTCTCTCAAGTTTAGTATTTTTGTTGTTGCTGGAATTATAATTTTTTTTAAAGGAGGTTTGTATATTTTCTAAACCGGATAAGCTTAACGTTTTCTACTCTCAAATTGCCACACCCGTTCGGCTGAGGTCCTGAATTCCTGCACCTCGCCTGGCTGTGACACTTTCTAACACATGCTGTTTTGTATAGTAAAATTGACTTTTTCTGATTCCCCTACTCTGTGTCTAACTTAGAAGAGAGTAAATGCCTCGCTCATTAGCTGGTTTTTGGCACGCTGTTGACATGACTTTTATTGACTACATCACTAGGATTACACACTGTGAATCTACGGTGTTTGACTAGAACCGATCGCGTAACAGTTTATCTTTGTTTTGTCCTATCCGAAAAGAGATTCACAACTTGTTAAGGCCTACCCTTGATGAAGAACTCGGTGAATTCGCGTGATTGATTGAATTCGAGAATTGGAAGGAACGATATTTTTGTCGTAATTGTAGAAGAAGGGGAACAAGAAAAGGACTAATAGACTAGAGAAAGAGAGAGAGAGACTGAAAGTGAGAGTGAGAGATTCAGATTGAGAGATTCGAATTGAGGTTAGGTAATTGATGATGGGTTTTTAGACTAGCGTTTCGGAGCTTTGGTTCCGTTCTCATACGCTGCTTTCGTTCTTGGGGTACCGACTGGGAGACGACGTGACGGACGAATAGGACGAGGACGAGTGGATGGTGGCGATGCTGCCGCGGCCATTGCTGCTGCTGGCGCTGAAACCTGCCGTGGCGATTGGGTGACCAGCTTCGCTGGGATAGACGGAATGTTTCTTGCGGACGTAGTTGGTTGGGGACGACTTTTCGACGAGGTTCGCCAACAGGGGGAGTGACTCATTCCGGGAGAATGCAATCAGGTCGTCCTCGTTGTGGCGTTTGTTTGCGGCGGTGGCTGAGGTTAGATGACCTTTCAGGTTCACTCGTTGGTTGGTTATTGTCGTTGCGGTTGGCAACCGAACCGGGCTGCTTTCCTTGATGTTGGATAGTAGCGAAAGTCGTTCTTCCGATGCCGTTTCCTGATAGACGGGGAAGTGTGACTCTAGGACTCCCGGTTTTAGGCTGGTGTTTTGGAGGGTTCTACTGCTACTGCTACTACTGCTAGAGTGGAAATTGTTTGTACTGGAACCAGTGTGGTCGAGGTCGCCGGTCAACGAAGACATGGCGCTGTGGTATGTATCGCTGGAACTGGCCGTCTTGCTATCCCGATTGTTGTTGAACTTGAAGATGTTGAACGAGGTGTACTTGTAGTTGTAGCATTCGCGATGGTTGAACTTTTGACAGCATGGTCCACCGGGAGATCTCCGACAAGGGCACGATGGACAATTTGAGGTACACTCTTGCTGTATCGCGCTATCACTTACTGTAAATGAGGTCTTCTTGGTTCCAGCGGTTCCGGATGAGGAATTGCCTCCCGGTGCCGCTTGCCGTGAGTTCAGCTCGTCGAGGTTATCCGCTGATCTAGAGTTTTCCTTGATCGGTGACGTTCCGCTAGCGGTCAGTCCTTCCGCGCCGATGATTCCGTTCCCGTCCAATACGATCACGTTGTGCGCCGATTCGTAGCTATCCATCGTTGAATCGCTATCGGAAGGCACTCGATTCAGCACGAAGATCTTGCCCATCCGCTTGTAGCTGTTGATCGTTTTGACGTCTTCTGCACACAATGACAGGTTTCCGCTTACCTTCGGTGTCCGTCGCATGATTTTCGGCGTGTGCAGCTGTGACTCCAGTAGCGGATCGGTCCCATCGCCCTTCGATCGACTTTGCTTGCTTTCGGTGATTTTCTCCAGGTACCGGTCAATACTGGACGCCAGGTTAACTCCAAAACTTGCTCGGGAACTGATGCTCGACAGTTCCGACAGGGACTCGGGGCTGGCCAGCGGGGCCAACCCGAACCAGTCGTCGTGGATCAAGTCGATTTTTTTGATTTCACCGGAATTCTGTAGAGTACCGTTCCACGATAGACTCATGGGTTTATTTTCGTTGGAGTTGCTTGGACCTGCCGGAGGGACCCCATTTCGTATAACGTTCGGCGAAGTGTTGAAGGCAACCGTCCGTGCAGTATTGCTAGCGGAACTTGGAGCTCGGTGTTGATGGTGGTGTGGATCAGTGTTGTTCAGGATTACCGTGGTGGCTTCGCTCGGTCCGGATAGGCTTTTCGGAATGCCGCTATCGTCAACGACGCTGGACAGTTGACTGCGAACGCCCAGGATGCTACCGGCTACGGAAGAAGCCTTACTGGGTGGATTGTGATCCTGTGGAGATTGGAGGCTGGTGAAAGAAGTTTCCAAACAGATCTTGTGCGGTACCGAAGGTGATGCCGGACTCTGCAGGGCCACCAGCGTCGGTTCTCCAGCAGCAGCCGTGTTGTTGTGGTTGATGAAGTAATGTCCGTCCGGGTGTAGTAGTGCTTCAATGGCTTCGGATGCGATCGATGAGTTGGCGTTCGATGATTGGCGCTGGGGTTTACGGGGGCCGACCGTGGTTATAACCTAGGAATGGTCGAAGCCAGTGGTTAGCGGAGGCAATCGAGGCGCGTTCGATCTGTGTTAGTGTTCTACGTGAGTTTCAAACGATACTTACGTTCAAAGGCTAAACCTGCCACACGACAATCATGCTTCACTCACCTCCAACAAATCCAACGAACTTGATACCTACTTTAACAGAACTGCTTCTAAATAGAAAGAGAGAGGGACAGAAAGATCATGCAAACTTACCGTTCTACTCCGCCCGAAACTAATATCGATCAACTAAAGAAAGTACAACGAACTTAATAGAGGAAAAAAAAACTAAGAAAATAATGATCCGTCCTAGCCAAACTGGTCGCTCTTCTCGCCCGAAATATTAGTCTTGAGAGCTTCAACTGACAAGCAGCTGTAGGTGAGGAGAGTGAGAGAGAGAGAGAGAGTGGAGCTACCTGGTATCGTTAACGGAGCGTGGATTGAGCGTGACGGCAGTGTCCTGCTTCTTCCCGGTAATTTCCGGCCTCAATTGGCCGCCATTTTCCACGGCAACGCTCGCAGCGGCATCATTCTTCAGGACCACAACCGTTATGGTGTTGGCACCGCTAGTCGGTGTTCCCAGCAGCACGGTTTGGCATGGTTTGTCGCTCGTCTTCGGCTCCGTTTCGTTGATCTGCTGCTTTGCCGCTGTCGCCGAAGACGGCGCATCGATCGGCGGTTGGGTTTCTCGTGATTGGTCTAGGAACTGTGATCGAAGGGTGTGTGTGTGTGTTTGCAGGCAATTTTCAAGTGGATTGATGGAATGTGTGGTTGGGGTTTTTTTTCCAGATACGAGGAAAGAAAGGGAAGAAAGGAAATAATTGTAGCACGTTTCGATTCTCAAAACTGGTCCAGATTGCTATCGCTACGGATGCAGCATTCGCGCGCTATTAGTTCGTCAGAGTTAAACGCAACGATAGTGATAGCAATTTGCGAAATTGATAAAAATAAATAAATATGTATAGTAGAAATGAAATGATCGGTAAAGCTATTAGAAAAAAAAAAACGAATGCTAGGCTTATAGAAAAATAGAGAGAGAGAGAGAGTTAGCGCATAGTGAGACAGAGGAAAACAGAGTGGAAGGCAAACATTTTTTATCGATTGAAAAAAATTAAGCTCCAAGACTGGACAAGGAAGAACGAAAATTACACTGAAAGAAATGTTGCTTCAAATTAAACGAGTTAGAAACAACGGAAATGTGTGCCAGCTGAGAAGCGATAAATGGTACATACGCCAATCTGGTTTGCTCTATGAATGAATGCTAGTTGCTAGGATCTCCTCTACCATATCATGGCCTGCTCGATTCGATCACATAATGACGGACGGACGACGAAGACGACAACGACGACGAGAACGGCTACAACATTTTAGTGATTATTCAGTTGATCATTCCGAATTTGGTTAGTCGGTACTCTGTACAGTGTTGATGGACTTAAGCGGACGGAATTATTTTCTTTTGTTCTTTTAATAAACAGAAATCAAAAACTAAACCAACTGAACGGGAACGAAATCTACACAAAAGTCAACGGCAGGAACGGATCTAAAATGATGGGTAACTAATTGTTCTTCAATTGTTTAAAAATCAACAGAAGATAACCAAAATCCGGATTTTCCTCCCTTCGGGTGATGGAAATCGAGGAGGTCTGTGTGGTTTGCTGGAAACTGTCCCGGCACAAAGCTACATAAAGCGAACATATAAAGCAGAATGAAACATGGAATCGGTAGAGCATGCAGTGCTAAAGTTATTCGAATTACTAGGACTACCTGTTTATTTAACAAAGCTTGAATTAAAGATGGTAATTTTGATATGGATGATGACTTTGACGATATTTTTTGCAGTGCTGATGTTGCTTATATACTAAACAAGTTCAGTCAGTGTTTAATCAGTCTAGATGCAACAGAGAGACGATAGAACAAAATCCACTTTCCAGTTCAACTGGTGACAGGAGGAGGGTTCCACATGGGCTTATACCAACCGGTGGAGACTAAAGATTTTAAATTGGCTCACTACTTGACTAGCCTATTGATCCCGAATACATCGATTAACGTACTCCATTCTAGTCGACATTCTAGTACTACACTGTTTGTTTTGATTCGCTATGAAAGTTTGACAGATAAAACGAGGGGTTCGTGGATTTCCCTATGTTTAGAGGGGTGCATCGATTAGCGTGGGACCGAAGAGAAGACCAGAGCTGAGCCAAAAATTTGAACACGTTTCTTCGGGACCTTCTGTTAAAGTTACCTCTATGATATTAACCTTTACTTCTTCCTAGGTTTCCTTTGCAGACATGTCTGAAACCTGTGTAGATCCTTTGTCATCCGTGCTCCATACATCGAGTCAACCAAGGAGGTAATTGATAAGCGGAATACGTATCACGATCATTTCGGTCGTCATTCTTTGGCGCTGGCGTACGTACTGACGGTGGACGTAGAAGCTCGAGACAAGTCCGGATTTCGCGACCGAACATGACCTTGGATGGCGACTTATGATCCGCGGTTGGGCGTGCTTCGGTACGTCAACAAGAAGATAACCAGTGCTTCTTGGATCGATCCTCTCATCTTTCGAAGGTATCCACGAATCGTTCCGCCTGGCCATTCGATTGTGGATGGAACGAGGCTTTCGTGAGGTGCTGAATGCCATTAGAAGCGCAGAAATCTGCGAATTCAGCGCTAGTGGGTACCGTTGTCGCTGACTAAAGCTACGAGCATACAAAGCCAAGCAAACAACCCACACAGGATGCTGATGGTCGCTGCAGAGGTGATGCGGGTCGTTTGGATGATCTCGGGCCACTTGGAGAACGAATCGATAGCGAGCAGGTTTTATTCGCCTTCTATCCGACCAGCGAAGTCGACGTGGACGCGTTGCCACGGAGCGATCGTTTTGGGCCACGGCACCGGTGTAGAGTGAGGAGGTGATCTAGCTACGGACGCACACTGTTGGCATGCCTTGACAGAGTTGACGATGTCGGCATCCAAGCTCGGCTAGTACACGTAGCTTCTTGTGATGGCCTTCATTCGCTGCATGCCTAGATGGCCATGATGGAGCTATTCGGGACACCGCTTTTGATGCAGCGACGGGATGAAGAGTCGTTCGGTAAATAGAATGCACCCATGCACCACGGAGAGTGATTCCTGTCTCGATTGGAACCGACGACGGTCTGACCCGTCGAGTTTAAACTGGGGCCAGCCGTTTTGGACTTGGCGGTGGACTTGGCGGAGCAGTGGATCTGCTTGGGTGCTTTGCGCGACGACTCTAAAATTGAGACGCAATACTTTAACAAAAAGTTGAGCACATTTCTTCGGGACCTTCTAGTCTTAGAGTTACCTCTATTATACAACTGCCCTGAGATCCTCTTCCAGGTTGAAGCTCGCGATGACGTAGTCCTCTTCAGGCTTGACGCGCTGGTTGATCAACCACGAGAGTAGGTCCAAAGATGAATACTAGGTCTGCGTTGCCAAACTTCTCGGTGGACACGTACTCGATATCGAAATCGTAGAGCAGCAAGTTGGCTGGGATTCCCTTCTTGGAACCAAAGATGTGAAGCATATCGGTCTGAAGCCGGAAGTGCCGTTCGAAGAGCATCTGTTGGAACTTCGTAACGGCAAAGATGATGGCCAAACCTTCACGGTCGGGTTCATTGTAGCCTCGCTCTGTCTTCGTGAGTGGCCTGGATGCGTGTTGGACAACCTTTACAGTACCGTCGGGGAATCTATGGCTGATGATCTCTCGCGTCGGCACTCTGGATTCCAGTGAAACTTCGTTTCTGGCTTGAAGAGATTGTCAGTCGGGTAGTGTTGCATACGGGGTTGAAACGGTTGACGTTTTTTACTACACCCGCTTCGTTCTCGTGCGCGACAGTCTGTTTGTATTGCCTCGATCTTGACCGGATCCGGGCGTAACCCACGATTGTCGACGATGTGCCCCCAAGTAACGGGTTTGCTGCTTGCGAAACGCTCACTTCTCGACTCGGATTGTGAATCGGAAATCTTGGATACGCTGTAGAACTTCCCGTAGACTGCGGTCGTGCTCCTCTTCCGTTTCACCGCCAACGATGACGTCATCGAGATAGCCAAAGGTACCCTTGAGTCCGGCTAACATCGTATCGATGAGCTGCTAAAACGCACCAGGCGCGATCTTCACACCCGGCGGAAGGCGGTTGTACAAGTAGAGGCAACGATGAGTGTTGATCATCAACAAACTACGGTACTGTTCATCGGCTTCCATCTGCAATAAGGCATCGGACAAATCTATCTGGCTGAAGATCTTGAAATTAGCCAGCTTGGTGAAGATGTCGTCCGGAAGTGGATACTGCTGTAGTGCAGACGCAATGAGTAGTCTCCGCAAAACTGGATGGAGTCATTGACTTTGTGAACTACGGCCTAATAAAATTAGTACGATTATTTTGCTTAACGACGTGTTCAGGGTATCATCCAAACCATTCGTGGAATAGTTCCACCATTTGGGTTATCGTTCGAGTACGATATTTTTTTATAAGGGCGACGATCGGAGCGGCCCACTCCGAATAATCGACCGGGTTGATGATTTTCAGCTTCTCTAGTCGGTTGATTGGTCAAGGCGACGATGGATCGAGTGATGTGCGTTGTTCGAGTATCAGGGACACTCTCGAGTCCCTTTGAATCTCGAAGGGGGTTACGGCAGGGTGATGGACTTTCGTGTCTGCTGTTTAACACCGCATTAGAAGGTGTGATCAGAAGAGCTGGGATAGACACGAGTGGCACGATATTCAGGTAGTCCATCCAGCTCCTTGGTTTCGCCGATGACATTGACATTATGGCACGGAACTTTGAGATGATGGCGGAAACGTACATCAGACTGAAGGCTGAAGCTAGACGGATTGGACTTGCCATCAACGCATCAAAGACAAAATACATGAAAGCAAGAGGTTCTAGGGAAGACAATGTTAGCCTCCCACCCCGAGTTCAGATTGACGGTGACAAAATCGAGGTGGTCGATGAGTTCGTGTATTTGGGCTCACTGGTGACCGCCGAAAATGATACCAGCAGAGAAATTCAAAGACGCATTATGGCAGGGAATCGTGCCTACTTTGGACTCCGGAGGACGCTCCGGTCGAATAAAATTCGTCGCCGCACGAAGTTGACTGTCTACAAGACGCTGATTAGACCGGTGCTCCTTTACGGCCACGAGACCTGGACTATGCTCGTGGAGGACCAACGCGCCCTTGGTGTTTTCGAACGGAAGGTGTTGCGTACCATCTACGGTGGAGTGCAGATGGATGACGGAACGTGGAGGAGGCGAATGAACCACGAATTGCACCAGCTGCTGGGAGAACCATCCATCGTCCACATTGCAAAAATTGGGCGACTACGGTGGGCTGGGCACGTCGTAAGAATGGCGCACGACGACCCAGTGAAAATGGTCCTAGAAAGCGACCCAACAGGAACAAGAAGAAGAGGCGCGCAGCGGGCAAGGTGGATCGACCAAGTAGAAGGTGACCTGCGGACCCTTCGCAGACTACGAGGCTGGCGAACTGTGGCCATGGATCGAGTAGAGTGGAGACACCTTCTTCGGACAGCAGAGGACAACAGGGCCTTAGCCTGATTGGTAAGGTAAGGTAGTCGGTTGAGCTCGTGATCAACGGTGTCGTACATTGCGTAAGCTACAGGACGCTTCGGATAGAAGACGGGTCGAACGTGTTCTTTCTGCTTCAACTTCACATTCGTTTTGCTGCACAAGCCAAGCTGCTCGCTGAAGACCTTCGCAAAATACGGCTTAAATGCAGCTGTCGACGCTGGTGATCCAGACACGTGATATGCTGCTGCTTCTGATGTCTCCGTCGAGCGATGCTACCAGATGCCGTTTTCGCTTTCACCGTTGCTGAAGATAACGCAGGACTGCAAAGTTTCCGCCAAATCTCCCTGCTAATGGCAGTGATGTCTGAGGCGGTGTCGAGTTGCAGAAAGGCCAACGGAAACAAATCTGCGTCGCTACTGCACACTGCATACGTCGACGACCACCACCTTGGCTGACACTGCTTGCTTCTTGCGTCTCCTTCCAGAATTTTCGGGACTTGGCACTGTTGCAGTACTCATTACGATGTCTGAACTGGCCACAGTCGGAAAATTTGTGGTAGTGAAATTTACCGCAGAACCAACAAGGCGAATTTTGGTTTCCGGTCGGTGTCCGCTTTTTGTACCGCCAAACTTGCGAATCGATCGTACTTGGTGTAACAGAAGTAACTCTAAGACTAGAAGGTCCCGAAGAACCGTGCTCAAATTTTTGACTCAGCTCTGGTACTCTCTTCGGTCCCAAGCTAATCGATGCAAACCTCGGAAAATTCACGAACCCCTCATTTTATCTGTCAAACTTTCATAGCAGATCAAAACAAACATTGTGTAGTACTAGAATCTCGACTAGAATGGAGTACGTTAATCGATTTGCTTGGGACCAATATGCTAGTCAAGTAGTGAGCCAATTTAAAATCGTTAAGGCCCAAGCGCAATGACAGCGGAAGCGGAACGGCAACGGCAGCGGAAAAGCCCGATCTGAGTAAGCCAACTTGTCGGATTGAAAACTTGTTGAAACCAAATCGACTTCGGTTAGGCATCTTGATGTCATTTGTGACAACTGTCAAACTTTCCGTTTCCGTTCCGCTTCCGTCCACATTGTGTTTGGGCCTTTAGTGTCCACTGGTTGGAGCCAATTCGATCAATCAGCCGGCAGTTCAACAACTTCTTCGGTGTGTTCGACTTCAGTTCATCAGCTGACGTGTTTTGTCATCGGCTACTTGGCCTCTTTGGTACCGTTGACCGTAACTAATTAGTTTAATTAAGTTGTCGTGTTTGAGGTTGTAGAGGCACTGACATTCCTCAGAAAGCTGCTCCAATGTCACGACGATCCTCTCCTCGATCTTCGTGAGGAGACGGGTGCGAATCTCGACGTTGTTCTCCGATTTTAGGCCACACTTTCGTAGCACTTGAATTGCTCCTCTGAAAGCTTGCCAAGCGAACGCTACGTGGTCCTCTGCAGAGTTCTTCACTATCTGCAGGTATCGGTAACATCGACTTATCACCGATTCTTTGAAACCGAACAGGTTCTTGAGGTTGGCCACCGGTTGTCTTTCGGAATCTTCGGTAAAATAGGCGGACTGTTGCTTCTTCATCCAGCCTAGCAGCATTTTTTCTCGAAGAGATCGTCGTATCTTGAGCACCAGGCAGCAAACGTCACGTTGGAGTCGGCCTCGAACCGGAATTCCTTGATGTAACTGGCCAGTGTGTCAAGGATTTGTATTTGTTGTAATTGTAGGATTCAATACAGTACAAAACAACAACAACTCACAACCACATTAAAATCATTGATGCGCATCTGCAGCATCGCGCAGTGACGGTTATGCCAACAGTTATGCTGCAACGTGCGAGCTCTGCGACTTTGCGGAGTATCGAACGAACGAGGAAAACTGTTACACTCCGCATTAGGGTTGTTCACAACACTCTAATAATGTTGGTTGTTATAACCACCGTTGACAAGGAAAAAAACAAAATAGGAACATTTATGCAGCTGCCCTAAAATTACATTACAGAATCCCCCCGTTCATAATACAAAATCATTGCTGGACTATCGGGGTTTGACTCGCTAATCGGGGGTTTGACTCGCCTTCAAATTCATACTAAAAAATCAAAACAAACCGACAGCATGCTTACAGCACAAATCTGAAAATTGAATTGTTTAATTTCGTAAAACTGGGTATTTTTATTCATCACCTGAAAGAGCTTTGTTTTCTGAACGCAGCGATATTTTTTATTAATTTCATTGACATATGACTCGATTTTTAAATCAAGATTTAAACTTTTGATGTTCGACACTAAATCAACTGTCAACTAGTTCGCTACCATACAAAGTCCCACCAAGTGGTGCTACGATCGTGGTTTTTGCTAATGTAATCGCACTTATTTAAAATAGTTCTAATGCACCAAAATTGATGAAATTTTGGATTTCGGTTCCATTGTTAATGCAGATTATGAATATGTATTTATATCAAGACCACTAAACATCCCGTTTATCGGTTTTGGGTTGTAGTACCGGATGAACATTATGCTCCACCTGTTCACTATGCCCCTTTTTCCCCTATTTATAAATAAAAATATTTTTATAAAACTTTTCCTCAATTACAATCAAACATCATCGCAAATCGCTATCGAAGCACCCCTTGTCTATTCTTATCAGCGCACCAGCATTCGATTTGACGTTTACGTTTGTTTTGGTTTCCCTTATAATAACGAACACGCACGGCGTCGTCGTTGGTTCCGTTGTTCTATTTTCCAATGTGATAAAACGCTTTAAGCAGTAAAGTTAATTTCCACAAGTTTAACCTTCATCCCAAAATGGTAAGTACCAACACCGACTACAATCCTTTCGAAATCACCTCATTCCAACCGATCCTTCCGCCAGTCGTCGTCGAGCGATGCGCTGTCGATTTTCAACGACCAAACTAGCCCGGAGAAGAAACGGTACGATTTTAGCTTTTCCCTGCCTTCCCCGGTGCAACCGGTCCAACCGATGGACGTGGACACATCCGGACCTATTCGACTGTCGCCCCCCACAACTACCACGGGAAACCGTCCCAGCGAGAAGAAGCAGAAACTAAATAGTGGCAAGGCGAAGGCTAAAATCCGGAAACTGATGAGCCAGGATGATGACGATGTTGATGGTGCTGCGTCGGTGGGAACCGGAGGATTTCTAAAAAAGTTGGTTGGAGTAAGGATGTTGGTTGCATACTCGTTGGTGCTGTTGGTGGCAGTGCTGGCGGGGATTGTCAGTAAGGAAGACTTGAGGGAAGATTTCTATCGAAGGTACCGGAAGCAGTACCATTTGCTGCTGTATGGAGTGGAGGATTACTGCAGTCAGGAGTTTGACTTTTCCCCGGTTGCTGCTGCATTGGATGCCGGTGTGGTCGGGCAGTGGACTGCGGTGGAGAGAATCGTTGATATTTTCAATCGACGTCAGGAGGAACGCTTCACGTCCATCGCTTTGCTCGGATCTACCGGGGTGGGTAAAAGTCTGATGGCTAGTATTGTAGCGCAGAATTTTCAGTGGCTTTCGAACGTGCACCAGTTCCTGTGGGAAGCATTGGCGACACCGGAACGGCAATACGATCGGTTTCAGTCGTTTCTGTACGGGATCCGACATGGACGGGAGGTGGATTTGAGCTGCGGTCGTAATTTGATCGTCGTGGATCACTTGGGCAGTGACGATGTGGAGTTGATTAACAAAATAGATACCAGGTTGCGATTCGTGGCGAATAACGACGACGTTCGGATGACGGTTCTGTACGTGTTTCAGGGAGCTTCGTTGAAGGACGATCGGAGGGTGGGACAGTTGAATGGGCCCATTGAGAGGGTTGTTCTGAGGCAGCTAAATGGGGAAGATCTGATGCAGTGTATTCGACAGGAAGCGGCCGAATTCGGGGTGGAATTGAGTGAACATCCCGGCCTGATGGAGGAACTGTTGACCAATATGGATGTGGCAAAATACGGCTGTAAAGCCGTGCGGGCTAAGGTTGCGTTCTATTCGCAGCACTCGAAGCAGAACGCGTTATGATTATTGTGTAGTTGACCATGGAAAAAAATGTTGCAAGCGCTGTGATTTACTCTTATTAATAGAAATGCAAATCTCTTCAATAACGTTTAATGAAAATAAATAACTAAACTAATGAACCTAACTACAAAAGCATTCTAGCTATGAAACAGCGTAACATCAATATCACAACCAATTCTATTAAGTAACACCAATCTAATGAGCTAATTAATATAAAGCTAGAGAGATAGTGAGCAACAATCCATCCAAGCTCCTAATAAAGTGTCATCGATTCCGATGCTGGTTGTGCCAAACTCGGCGTCGGCAGGGGTGGCGTCGGCAGTCTTACCTTATTGAGTGCGGCGAGCACCTTGTCCGGCATGTGGTCCTGCAGCATCACGGGCGAGATGAGCACCTCGTCGAAGGCGGTATTGTCGGCCCAGATCGCCTGGTAGACGGGTTCACGCTTCTTCAGAATTTGTCTGCTTTTTTATATTTTGGTTGGAAGGAAGAAGAAAATAAAACACGAAAACAATTAATGTCGCTAGAGTTGGCATAATGGATATGGGCGGTTGTATGGCCAAGGGAGATGATGCTTCAAATAATGGGGGTCAGGAGCTACAAACTGGTACATCTACTATTACGTCAACGTGGGCGAGCAGTCAGGCAAGGGTCGGAGGTTGGTCGAGGTCATCAATGCAATCAAACTACTAGGTACTCTTCTCTCTACTGGTTGCAGGAATGGTAAAAAGAAAAGTGTGGATAACGAAGTAAGTTACAAAACTACTATGTAGGGCGGAGTGCTGTAGTAGGTAATAAATGTACACCGAATGGAATGACTATCGTTCTTGTGGTGTAAACTGGCAAGGATCCAGCCACCTCCCTCTTCCGTTCCGTTCTTGACCTTATGGATTCAGTGTGCGGCTGGTTGGAGATGGCCAAACACTAACGAGTTACAGCAAGAAGACCCGGAGCAAGGAGACAAAGTAGAGTTTGGTTGATTAGATTGCTAATTGAATTTTGCTTCGTTTGCATGCTTGGCTCGTTTTTTTTTTATCGCTTGGGTCCCGTTTTTGCGTAAAGCTGGAACGACGATGACGATGACCCATGGTGATGACTTTTAGTTGTTTCCATGAACTTCATTAGTGTAAATTATGATGTGCTTCATTCTTGAGGACGGTAAAAAAAGCAGCTTCAAGATGCCGAATTTAGTCGATGTAGGTAGAAAATAATTGAACTGATTCCAAATAATTTTAGGCCGCTTAAATACATATCGAAACACATAATTTATGCAAATGCAATCTTAGAGTCTAACGAAATAAACTACTTAATTTATATTTTTTGGAAATCAAATAGAATCCCAACAGAAGAACGAATAACATTTTGCAAAATCAATTAATCCTTCAAATCTTCTCAGACGATAGTTTCCTTACATGCTAACTCTAGAAAATTTCCCTGGGTTCTTAATTTTTTTCAGTTCGAGACATTCAAGATCTCCATGTACAAGAAATTTGTTAAAGTTTTTTATATTTTTAACTACTCTGAACGCCAAGGGGTAATCAACTCTGCACACTGTGCTAAAACACAGCACGGCACACTGTTCGGCACGATAGGTCACACTTTGACTAGTAGTCGTTGCTAAGGTTGACTACTCTTTTGAATACTGTGTTTACTCAAAAGTGAAGGTAGTGATGTTGTCATTTATAAAAATGGTAAAACAACGATTCAATCAAGAATTTAAGACCGACAAACCGGTTTCGAGGATCGCTCCGAAAAAAATCGGTAAGTATTCTTTGAACCGTGAATCTCTTTAAATCTAGCAAAACTCAGTCTGTCTCATCCGATTCACAGTAAAAATCCCAGCGGCTCGTGATTTCATCCAGAACAGCTTCTATTCGGAATTGACTTCAATCTAGTTCATCCACACCGTTGCCGGTCGAGAAGGTCTTGTCGATACGGCAGTCAAGATGGCTGAAACTGGTTACCTCCAGCGACCGACGGTTTTGTCAAAAGCTACCTATGGTGCAATTGATATTGGCTACGATGGGATATCCACAGGACTTTAAAGGGATGTCCATATAATTTTGAATGAAGTCCTAGTACTGCTGGGGGAAGTCAATAGGTATTAACCCCACATATTCCATCAGACCTGGATCGGAGTACGATTGCCTTAGTGAAATAGTATAGGATTTATAGGAACGGATCATTGCAGTTAAAAATGCAATTACATTCTATTCCACGAGTCCGACATCAAGCATATCCCCTTCACCAGATCCGGTAATTTTGCTGACGCATCTCTGTCATCATCTTTCTGTTGAACTAGCTCGTATCAAGGGACCCCAGAACGATGGGTGGTCTACCGATCGAATTTGAGGTTTTATTAAAAACTGGCTCTAGGATGTTGCTCCTAAGGTGGGATTGAATTCTCGCCCGTTCAAACTCTGAGTTGCTTTAGTCGGGAATAAGATTATCACACGTACTCTTTTTAGAGTACATGTTCTCTTTTCCGGCGGAAAATTGCGCGTATTATTCTTTTTTGCAAAATGATGCCGTTTGTACTCTTTTTATAGTCTCAATACCTTCTAGCAAAAAAAATATATTTTCTCTCAGTCTACACATGCCATTATTTTTCCCAAATAGTACATTTTCTCTCGAATTTATGAGATAAATGTTCATTTATTAAGACATGATACGAAAACGTCGCGAATTGCTTCGAAAAAAAAAGGTTTGCTTGCACTGCTAGCACCTGTAACAAAAACACTTTCACTTACCCCTCAAAATATTGTAAATTGTAATTTTTATTGCAGCAGCACCCCTCGTTTGACAGCTTGTCGCAAATCAGTCCGCTCGTGGGTTTTTAATTGTTTGTTTTGTTTACCACGTTCAGCCCGATCGGATTGAATGTTAAAAATTGTTGTTGTCTTCGAGGAAATCTAGATAGAGCTGGAATTAGGGCCTAACAGCTTTTGTAAACAATGACTTCTCATGATGATTTCTAGCAATTCAAGGCTCACTAAGGCAAACCAACATCCTCATCGGGTAGGGAAAGACTTCCCCTACCCGATGAGGATGTTGGTTTGCGTGGGTGAGCCTTGAATTTCTAGAAATCATCCAGAGAAGTCATTGTTTACAAAAGCTGTTAGGCCCTAATTCCAGCTCTATCTAGAAATATCAATGTGAATTTGCTTTTATTTGTCCGAATCTAATATTGACTTTTAACTTGTATAGTTTTAAAGATCAGTAAATGAAAGAGTTTGTAAAACAATAAGTATTTACTCATTCCAAATTGCTCTTTAATGAACAGGTTCTTCGTGCTGACATGTCTCGCCGGAAGAATAAGTTTTCGGACATCCTCCAGAAGGAATTTCCACAGTTCAAACCAACTTCAGTCGAGTTTGAAGTGTTTTGTGAAACTTGCCAAAAGAAGATTTCAATTGCCAACAAAGGACAAACGGATTTTGTTGGACGAAGCGGACAGGTACACAGTGGAATTGTGTCAGAATACGGAATAAACTACCGGAAAACCGAGGACCAAAACGAATAAAAACTCGAACGTGTTGTACACATGAAAAATGTAAAATACTATAATGTTAGGTTAGTCACATCTGTCAAAACACTTGTCATAATCTTGAGACGTTAAGCATACCAGTGGTGTCGGCTAGGATAGTCGACACTAGGGGTTCGGCAAACTGGTCGAATGTAGGGGTTACCGTTGCATTCTGCTAAGACTCCTCCTCAACGGTGTTCCCTCAGCCTTTAACGAAACCTAGAAGCTCGGTAAACCGGTCATGCTTCACCGTTCCAAGCGCCTTGGTAAAGATGTCCGCCTTCATTTCATCAGTGGGACAATATTGAAGTTTCACTACGCCACGGTCACAGAGATCCCTGATGAAACACTCCTTCGTTTCGATGTGCTTGGTCCTCTTGCTCGCTCGCTCGGACCTGACGAAGCACAAGCAGCCCTGGTTGTCTTCGTGCACCATTGTGGCACACTTCTCCTTCTCACCCATGTCGTTCAGCAATCTTCTCAACCACAGCACATCTTGGCAAGTCTCACCCAGCGCCACATATTCGGCCTCCATGGACGAAAGACTCACGCAATCCTGTCTTCTGCTAGCCCACGACACAGCTCCTCCTGCATAGAATACTACAAACCGGTAGTAGACTTGCGTGTATCTGGGTCACCAGCCCAGTCAGAGTCCGAATACGCCTCCAGCAGCTCTCCGCCTACGCCACCCAACTTCAACTTCCAGGTATTGGTTGCCTTGAGATAACGTACGTCACGCTTTGCCGCTGTCCAGTCGATTTCCGTCGGAGCACTGAACTTTCTGCCCAATATGGAAGCAGCCGATGCAATGTCGGGACGCGCTGTGACTGCCACATACATCACTGTACCAACCAGGCTTCGGTACATCGATGCGTCCTTCAGGTTCTCACTCGTCGTCCTGTCCTTCACGTAGCCTTGATCCATCGGCGTCTTCGCCACCTTCGCATCTTGCAGTCCTAGTTTCACGATCAATTTCTCGATGTATGCCTTCACGCTCATGTTGTAGAATCCGTCGTCGTCCTTCTGTAGTTCCAAGCCGAGAAAATACTTTGCATCGCCCAGCCAACACATCTCAAATTCTTTGCGAAGCTCTTCGTACACATTGGCACATTCTCAGAAGCACATCCAACTAGCAGATCATCCACATACACGATTAGGTATACCTTCTTGCCGTTCCTGACAGCCACGTACATACACGGATCAGCACTGCACGCCACGAATCCAATCTTCAGCAGGACGTCCGACAGCTTCCGGTTCCAACACCTCGCCGATTGCTTTAAGCCATATATGCTGCGCTTCAATCGACAAACCTTCTGCTTCTGTCCGCGAACTTCACAACCGGGTGGCTGGCGCATGTACACCTCCTCGTCAATACTACCGTAGAGATAGGCGGTCTTGACGTCCAGATGCTTTAGCAATAATCGCTCGTTGCCAGCCAGCACCAAGAATGTCCGCAACGTAGCATACTTGGTGACCGGAGCGAACACTTCGTCGAAATCAACTCCGTATCGCTGCGCGTATCCTTGCGCCACCAGCCGTGCCTTAAATCGAACAACTGCTCCCGTTTCATCCTGCCTGATCTTGTAGACCCATCGGCTTCCAATGACACGCTTCCCAGCCGGAGGGTCCACCAGTTCCCACGTGCCGTTCCGTAAATGCGACTAAAGTTCATCGCCCATTGCTTTTCGCCAAGCATCACCGTCAACACTCTTCACTGCCTCAATGTAGGTAACCGGCTCCTTAACTGACTGCGCCGCTACTCCCACAACGTAATCGGAAAAACGATCTGGCAACTTTCTCCGATTCCTACGGAATGACATTCCAGTAGGTACACTTTCCGATTCTTCACCGTCTTGCGGCTTTTCTTTCACTGCTAGCGGATCCTCCAACGAAGACGAAGACGAATTCAAGTCAAAAAATTGTTCGTATTCACTACGG